GTAGGAAGAACAGGGCAAGCTGTAATGAAATGACTGATTGTCCAACTTTCAGGGCTGGCTAGGTGTGTGACTTGGATGACCTATCGTCTGCTTCTAACAGGTCCTGAAGCAATTGGGACAAATCATTGGAGTTATGAGTCTTTATGTGTCCAGGAGTAAGTTGATCACTGCTAGATCTAAATAATGAATTAATTTCACAGTGTTATGTGCACCTGGAATTTATGCACCCTGGAATCCCAATTTATTTTCCTCTTTCCCATTTAACAAAGGAGAATAAAAACGTTGTAGATTAGTTTGTTAAAAGTTCACGTCCCTACACCAGAGCCAGATAGGCAGTGTAAGAGTGAGCCCTACTCCCACAAGCTCCTCCCTCTTGCACATTAATCCCTTATCCCCAATACCAGAGTTGTATCTATGTCTCTTCTATGAAACTGGTGTGCAATGCTTCTGGGAGAACACTTACCCTATCCATAGGCGAGAAATCTTTGGAAATTGTTATTTTTTGTATCTCTCCTCTCATTGTTACTTGACAGGTAGAAGGATTTGAGGCATTTACCTATTTTGGTGGAGAACTTAAGCGATCACTTTGATTAATGATGTCAATAGAATTTCACTTTTGTTAACATTTTAATGCTTTCAAGTGCTTTTACCTACATTATTTCATTTGCTTTTTATCACATCTCTGGAGTGAAGATGAATTTATTTTAAAATTTAGGAGAATAAGACATTTAGAGACTTGCAGAAGCTCCTAAGGAAACACTAACAAAAGAAGAACTTGAATCTCAGTTATTCTGACCCTTTTCAAACACTCTTCCTAAGATACCTTGTTTCTCATGATAAGCAGTGCCAGGGGCACTTGAAATAATACTTCATAAAAATAATAACTCCAGTAGAATGTTGCTCTAGAAACATCACTTGTAAACAAAGACATTAATTCAGAATTTATCTTTCAATAGACAATCACATCAAATCATAATTAACAAATCTATATATTAAATTTCCCCTGTTTAATCTACTGTGTGGTTTCTACTTCTTGATTAGACAGACCCAGACTGCTAGAGCTCTCAATTCACATAGTGTGGATGTGTCAAACTTGTCAAAGAAGGGTAATTCCAGGCACTTGTTTAAATCCAAAAATATAGAAATTTTTTCCAATAAATTCATTGCTTTCTCTCTCTCCTTTGCTCCAGGGATACTAGCTACACACAAGGCATACTAATGGATTCTCATAGCTTAAGAGCAAATACTCTGTTTGATATTAGCATCTGTTTAAACTTAGGCATCTATTCAATTATGCACTTTCGAGAAATTCCAAATTCTTCTTTTACTGTCTTACTTTTCTTTCTCGGCAGGAAACACTCAGCAAATATGTGTGGAAAGAATACATAATGAGCCATTGAACGCTACTGTGTATGCTTGGGCCCACCTTCTGTAGTCATTAAAAATGATAGAAATTGCAGGAAAACAGTTACAGATTCTCATTAAATACTTAAAGAATTTTCCTAATAACTGACCATATTAATGATTTGAAAGAGAATACATATACCCTAAGTTTATCCTTTCCTTGATCATCCTCCATGACACTGTATTTATCTTTTTACTTGAAAAGAAATTATTTTTTGAAAAAAATGAAAGAACATACTTTTTGTTCATGTCCCCATACTATATGCACACACTTAAGGTACCTAGGAAAAATGCAGTGCTAAAATAACAATGCATTTGATGTGTGTATATATTTAGCTACCTCCCATAGTTTTGACTAGCTTATTGACTGCTTTAAATCAAACCACTTAAATCATTTAACAAACATCCACCTACCTACTCATTTGAACTATGTTACTATGGATTTGTGTTCTAAGAATTAAGCTACTGAATTCACTGAGTTATTTGAAATTTTTCAGAATTAGAAGGCATTAAAACAATTTTAATTTATTTTAATTGATTTATTTCAACACTGGCTTTATGTTTTTATCAAACAATATTTCCCTTTAAAACATTCTTTTATTAACATTGACATTTTTGACTAAATAAGAGATAGAAACTTCGTTATTCCCTTATAGGATCTCCTTTCCTCATCTTAATGTTTAAGGATGACAATATTGCTTTGATAAGATTTTAATCAAACCTGCATACATGAGACTCATGTCTGGTACTCAGAAGAAATGGCCATATCTAAATTTGTCCTTGAACAACTACTTCCACAATATGTACCCTCAAGATGGGTGTCAATGTTTTAGATATAGAAATTAGTGTTTCTCTTGGTCTGGAAATGTCCAATTATATTAAAATAGTATACATGAGGTTTAAAATACCGTGTGTATGTGTGTGTGTGTGTGTGTGTGTGTGTGTGTGTGTGTTCAGTTACTCAGTTTTGTCTGACTTCTGTTACCCCATGGACTGTAGCATGCCAGCTTTCCCTGTCCATGGAATTTTCCAGGCAACAGTAGTGGAATGAGTTGCCATTTCCTATTCCAGGGGATATTCCNGACCCCTTGGACTGTAGCCTGCCTGTCTCCTCTGTCCATGGGATTCTCCAAGCAAGAATACTGGAGTGGGTTGTCATTTCCTTCTCTGTTAGTCAGTATATCAGAAGTAAACAATGGTAGACTATGCCTCTTGAAAATCAAACTGCTCTGACTCCTTAGTGTATTTAGATTAAATTTTACCTATGTGATATTAGAGATTAGAAATCTGACTAGTGGAAAATAAGGCAAAAACAATGAATTAATATAGGAGCTAAAATTCATATGGACAAGATAAGAGCTGATACACACAAAATGAAACTTTTATTCAATGATCTCCCTAATGCTTTCAGGTAAGTACTTCATGGAACTGATTTTACCTCTGTTCTTTCCAATCCCTTATACTTGCTTCACTGATTTATTTAGGTAATTTTAGGGTAACAACAATGATTTTCCATGCTTTATTTGGGATTAATATATAAGTTTATCACAGTATTGGGAAAGAGCATACTTTTAAAGACCAGGTTCATCTGAACTCATTAATTTCACAGTTCTCATATTAAACAGATTCATAATAAAATTAAAAAAAAGATAAACAATGACATATTTAGTAAGCTCCATATTGCTAAGATAGAAATATTTTATCTTTGAGCCTGGATTTAAAGAAATTGCACATAAATATTGAGATTCTATTTCAGTAATCAAACCTTCATATGAAAAACAATTCATTCCTTTTAGATCAAAGTAAGAATGAAAAATAAATGACAGAGATCTGGATAGACTCTGTCAAACAGTGTCATAAACATACAGAGTGAAGTAAGTTAGAAAAACAAATATTGTATGACATTGCTTACATGTGGAATCTAGAAAAATGACACCGGTGAACTTACTTGCAAAGCAGAAATAGACACACAGATGTAGAGAATGGACGTATGGGTACCAAGGAGGGGAGAAGGTAGGATGAATTGGGAGATTGAGATTGACGTATGTATACTACTGTGTATAAAATAGGTAACTAAATGAGGACATATTGCATAGCATAAGGAAGTCTACACAATGCATTATTGTGACCTAAACAGGAAGAAAATGAAAAGAGGGGGATAGATAAATACTGTATAGCCAGTTGGCTTTGCTGTATAGCAGACACTAACACAACATTATAAAGCAAATATACTCCAGTAATGGAGTAGGAAATAGCAGTCCACTCCAGTATTCTTGCCTGGAAAATTCCATGGAGAGAGGAGCCTGGTGGCCTCCAGCCAATGGGGTCACAAGGTCAGAAATGATTTAATGACTAAAGATGCCAGACTCCTTTTTTCATGGGGATTCTCCAGGCAAGAATACTGGAGTGGGTTGCCATGCCCACACCATGCCAGAGTAGGTTTCCATGCCTGTCTCCCGGGAGGATCTTCTCAACCCAGGGATCGAACCCAGGTCTCCCGTATTGCAGGCAGATTCTTTACTGTCTGAGCCACCAGGAAAGCGCAAGGATACTGGAGTGGGTAGTCTATCCCTTCTCCAGGGGGTCTTCCCGACCCAGGAATTGAACCAGGGTCTCCTGCATTGCAGGTGGATTCTTTACCAGCTGAGCTAACAAGTTCTTTATCTAGGTCTACCTTGGCTTTTTCTGTCATTCCCTTCAGATACTTGCTCAAATACTACCTTCCCAGTGAGGTCTTCCATAACTACCTTACCTAAAATTATAATCCCTTCTCCCTGATATTTCCTATTCTGATTACTGAATATATTTTTCTCCATTGCATTTCTCATGTTCCAATACAGTTTGTGTGTGCATGTCTGTGTGTGTGTGTGTGTATGTGTGAGTGTTAATGTTACCAGATAAAAAGGAGGATTCATGTTAAATTTTATTTTGAGGTATAAGTATGTCCAAATACTGCCTGGGATATAATCATAACATTATTTGTTGTTTATCAAAATTCATATTTAGATGCATTTTAATATGTAATATATGGAACATACATTTAAAACAGAATATATTGNTATGTCCAAACACTGCCTGGGATATAATCATAACATTATTTGTTGTTTATCAAAATTCATATTTAGATGCATTTTAATATGTAATATATGGAACATACATTTAAAACAGAATATATTGTATATTCTTTAACTACACAATATTTTGGATGTATTTATACTAAAATTTATTTGCTATTTATCTGAAATTAAAATTTAACTGGGTATTTTGAATATTTTAAATAAATTTAGCCATCTGTGGGGGCATGCATCTTACCAACAGTGTTATGAACTAGAATGTAATTTCTACAAAGGGATTTTTGCTGTTTTGTTCTCTGATGTAGAGGTGAACAAGTAAACAGAGGTGCTCAGGAATACCTATTTAAGAGTGAATTAAGTTTCTTAACCCTTTATAATCTACATTTTAATATATGTTAAATTAGAACATTAATATCTACCTACAGGTATTTTGTATCATTTGAAAGAAATAATTTATGCAAATAGTTTTTCACAATATCTAGCAAGGTATTAAGTAACTTTCCTTTTTTCTTTTTAATTCAGATTTGCATTTATTTCCACGTTCAGCCTTTCAAAAGCCTTCTGAGAGAATGGTAGTAAGTATCTGATGATTTTTCCTTCTTTTGCATTTAAAGAATGAATTATTATTTAATGAATTAATAGATAGTCATTATTTTTGCCATTGTTCTTGATCCAAACAAGGACCCCTGAATATTCAGGGTAAAGTTTTCTCAAAATCTTAATGTTTTCTATATTAAAAATGTAATTAACTGCTTCCTGTAACATTGAGCTCAATGGAGATACACTTTGCTTCTGAAGGACATATTTAGCATTTATTAAGTCACTGTTGGAGTTTAAGAATTTTTGTATTTTTTTGAAGAATGTAAAAATAGCATTTATTTTCTTTTCTCATTTGTGAAAAAATAAGATGGGTCAAAGAAATCTATAAAGGTCTGGACTGAACCTATAAAATGACACTCTCAAATGTAGTTTTTCTATTTCAAGCAGAAGTCTGTTATAGACAGGAGGAAGGTATAAGTGGCGGAAATGGCTTAAAAAGCAATTGCAAACTATTTTTATTCAGCACCATTTCAAAACTTACAATTTCCTTGTTTTCTGAAATAAGTCTGATAAGAGATCAACACATCAAATGCACTTTAATACATTAAGTGCTGGTTCTCTCTTATAAGGACACTCATCTAAAGAGCTGAGAGTCCTGTGATGGGGCAGGGTTGGGTCCTCTGGAAAACAGAGTGCCACCTCCTTTTTCACTAATAATATAGAGGCATGGGCTTGTATATCTGACAGACATTTTGGCCTTTGGTTTTTCAGCTCATCATTTGTGGCTTCTTCAGAAATCAGGTTTACATAAGTTTAAGCAATAGGCACATGATGGAAAATAAGAAATATTCTGGGATTTCATAACTTACCTGTTTTGTAAATCTGGACATTCACAAAGTGATTTTATTTTTCATGATTGGAAAACAACTGGTAAGCATCAGAAAGACTTAAAGCCAGATATAACAATTTTGTTGTGATTATATCACTAATAAAATTAAACAGATATTTAAGGTCCCATTTGGTAACATGAATTATTAATAATATTCTATTGAACAAAAGATACCAAATTAAAACGGGATATATTACACCCTGTTGGCTCAGGCAGTAAAGAATCTGCCTGCAATGTGGGAGACCCAGGTTGATCCCTGGGTCGGGATTATCCCCTGGAGGAGGAGATGGCAACCCACTCCAGTATTTTTGCCTGGGAAATCCCAAGGACAGAGGAGCTTGGTGGGTTATAATCCATGGGGTTGCAAAGAGTCGGACATAATTGAGCAACTAACACTTTGACTTTGATACTATAAAGACTCATTTTTGCATTTTTACAAGTACACTTACATATCAGAATCCTCATGGTTCCTAATTTGGTATAAAAATAAACATACACTTGAGTTTTCACACAAATGACCTTAATAACAGACATTCAGAAGTACCCTATTTCTGAATTTTCCAGTACCTAGTCCCTGCGGTCGAAGCAAATGAATAGAGGTTATGAGCATGCACTTTAGACTCCTGTTTAGTCCCTTCCTACTCATATAATCCTGCAAAAGCCACTTATTATCAAAGTCTGATATTATGGGGGAGTATAAGAGTATCAGACTCAAAGATATTTTGTGATGATAGAGTGATGTAGTTCATGTAGGGTGCTTACCACCAAACTTCTTATATAGTATGTGTGCAGGCGTGCTAAGTTGCTTCACTTGTGTTCGACTCTTTGCCAACCTATGGACGGTAGCCTGCCAGGCTCCTCTGTCCATGGGGATTCTCCAGGCAAGAACACTGGGTGGGTTGCCATGCTCTTCCCCAGGGGATCTTCCCGGCCCAGGGATCCAACCTGTGTCTCTTATGCCCCTTGCATTGGTAGGCAGGTTCTTTACCACTAGTGCCACCTGGGAAGCCCTTTATATAGTATAAAAAACATAATTGCAATTCTTAGTATCATTTTATATCATATGTACATAACCCCTGTAGGGGAGCAAAATTTAACATCCGAAAATATCTCGTTAGTATGAGAATTATTTCAATTGGAAACAACCAAGGCCCCAAGAGACTCAGGAAGAAACTTTGGCCTTTCCCTTAAACCTCTGAAAGAATGTAGCTGCCGCTGCTGCTAAGTCGCTTCAGTCGTGTCCGACTCTGTGCGACCCCATAGACAGCAGCCCACCAGTCTCCTTGTCCCTGGGATTCTCCAGGCAAGAACCCTGGAGTGGGCTGCCATTTCCTTCTCCAATGCCTGCATGCATGCTGAGTTGCTTCAGTCATGTCCGACTGTGCGACCCCATGGACTGGTGTAGCCCACCAAGCTCCTCTGTGCACAGGATTCTCTAGGTAAGAATACTGGAGTGGGTTGCCATTTCCTTCTCCAGAAACAATGTAGATGGAGCACCGATTCCAGGAAGGGGGTTGTCACCGCAGACAAGGACAGTATGAACTAGGTGTGACAAACAGGGAACCACCGAGCAGTCTGTTTGCTGTAAGTCCTCTCTGAGTTCATTGCCCCCACCTGGCTCAGCAAACTTCCCTTCACCAAATAAATACTTCCTTTTCCATCTCTATGTGGATTGCCTGTTTCCTCTTTGAAGTCCTAAACCACTGTCCCCAGCATCCTCTTTTGTCTTTAGCTCAAGATGATATTCAAGGTGAGGATTTGGGCCATTTTGGCAAGTATTCAGTTTTCCTGGGTCTCTCTCATGTATGCGTGTTATAAACTTTCATTTGATTTTCTCCTGTTAAAGTGTCTCATGCTAATTTAATCCTTTGACCAGCAAGTAAAACCTAGAATGGTCTTCCTCCCAACCCTACTCTGAGTATGAACTCATGACCCCTTTGGCAGTTATTGCTATTACTTTTATCTCACTAGTTTAGTTGTTATTAAAGATATTAATGTTTTCATGTTACAGATGATCTTTCATACTACACAAATATATATGTATATGTCCCATTCTACACACACATATCTTTTACATGCCATGCTTACATCTTTGAGATGAGAACTGTCATAGATTTTAATAGCATTTTCATATTTTAAAGTAGGACAAATAGGCTACTTGAAAATTACTTATATCCATGTAGTATGCAGAATGGTGATTTCTACTTTTTATTGAGTAGAAGTTTTATACTTTGTGTAACTTTACTGTGCTTACAAAAACTTGTGATTTAAGTAACATATGTAAATGAACTTAAGTGGTATTTGCATACTAAGACTCATTTAATGATAATATTCATAATCAAGTAAAAATCACTTTAGGTAAGTGAGGCTTTAATGAATGTAGTAAATTAGCTTTAATTTTCAAATGAGGGCTTTTAAAATTTGAGTAGGAAATAGAAAAAAATCATTGATCATTCTTTTCCAATTTTAAAGAAAATATTGGAAGCTGACAAGTTTAGTTCAACCACTCTTTGTCTCTGAACATAAAGTTTTATAATACCTTACTGACCTAATGTATAATAAATAACAGTGTAATAAATAATATTGATAGTCTATGTTAATTAGTCAAATGACTGACAGCCTTTTAAAATGATAAAATTTTAACTTCCAGTTAGTAACCATCTGATATATAAAAGCCCATTCAACTGAAAATAAATCATACAATTTACATTTCCTGGAAAAATGGATCAAGCATATGCATGAATATAATGTATATTGGTTTCTTATACTCAGTTTATTAAGAAAATTAGTAACATGAACTCACAGTTTCTAATTCTTTTTGAAACAAAGCAAAAATTTAAAAAATAATTCAACTTAAGGCATAACTCATTTTATTGTACTTCACTTTATTGCTTTTTTCCAGATACTGCATTTTTAAAACAAATTTAATGTTTGTGACACTCTGCTCAAGCAAATCTATTGATGTTATTTTTCCAACAGCATTTGCTTACTTCCTGTCTCTGTCACATTTTGGTAACCCTTGCAATATTTCAAACCTTTTCATTATTATTTTATTTCATATAGTGGTCTGTGATAAGTAATATTTGATGCCACTACTGTAATTGTTGGGGGCGCCATGAACCATGCTCTTATAAGATAACAAACTTAATTAATAAATGTGTGTATTCTGACTGCTCCACCAACCAACCAGTCATTCCTCTCTCTCTTTCTGCTTGGGCCTTTGTATTCCCTGAGACACATTATCAAAAGTAGGCTAATAACCAACCATACAGTGACCTCTAAGATTTCAAGTGAAAGGAGGAATCACACATCTCTCACTTTAAATCAAAAGCTCAAAAAGATTAAGTTTAGTAAGGAAGGCATGTCAAAAGCCAAGATAGACCAAAATCTAGGCNCAGCCTTCAGCAACTACCACCCTGATCAGGCCACAGCCATCATTACTGAGGCAAGACCCTTCTCCAACAAAAAGATTTTGACTCACTGACGGCTCAAATGATGATTAGCAATTTTTAGCAATAAAACATTTTTAAATTAAGATTTGTACATTTTGTAGGCATAATGCTATTTCACACTTAATAGACTACAATATTATGTACTCATAACTTTTATAGGCAATGAGAAACTGAAAAATTAGTGTTACTTATTTTATTGCAACATTAAATGTATTACAATATTAGATTTATTGCAGTATCATGCCCAACCGACAGCACTTCCAAGGTATGCCTATATATTGTAGCCACCTGTCCATATGTGATGGTAAGAATATGATTTTTAAGAATAGGAATATGGCTGAGTCAGAAGACCTGTTTCAATTCTGGAACCACAGTTGCTCTGTGATCTTGGGTAAATTATTTAACTTATTTAATACCCACTTTTCTCATCTTCAAAATAGCAATGATAACAGTACCTAACTCATAGATTGACTGAATTATGTAATATCATGGTTGACGATCTTTTAAAAAAGTAAAAGCATGTAAAACATATTAGCTATTGTCATTATCAGTACTATTATTTGCTGGAAGGAAAAGCATATCTTTATGAATATACTTCTTGATATTTTGTGCACTACTGTGGGACTTGTTTAAGAGAAGAATTACAGGGTACTCAGACCTCCCATATCGACAAGTAGATAAATAATCTCCTTTATATCCGCTCCTACAAAAGTCATATAAACCCTGTAGCTTCCAAACTTGAGACTGCTGGCTTGTCCCAGATTAAATTATAGGTGCCTGGAGTACTTCGCTAACAAACATGTGTCCCATAAACCTATTGTGGCTCTCAACCACCTCTAACTTCCTCACTGTGAAACCTAATTTTCATACCCATATTTAGATGTCACTCTAGCCCAGTGGTCAATCCACTCTGCAAAAAAGCAGATATCTGTAAGGAGACAACCCAGTTTCCTATACTTTGAAACAAGTTAAAAGTGGTTTATGCTCCTAGATTTGTGCAGTGTCACGATTAAACTGAGCCGAAGTACAAACCCATTTCAAAGTGACTTACTGTCATTCAAATTAGTTTAAACTAGCTTAGACTATGAGTGTACTTTCTTATTCTATTTAAAAACATATTACAATATAAACTATTTCAAGTTAATGTTACACATGAAAATTTTTAACTTAACTTATTTGAAAAGTTTCAGCATCACATTGGCATATTTCTCTCTTCCAAAAACCTTGTCAAGAGACAGTATGTAACCAACTGTTAGTTACATTTTATAAATGAAGCTCAAAGGATGAGAAGATACTGAGGTACAGAGGAAATGAAACTCAGAGTTGGATTATAAGTAAAGAATTCCTGTTTTTGGACCACTAGGTGCACACATGTGCATGCACAAACACACATACATATCTAAAACAAGAGGAAAATAAATACGTGGTAGGCAAGTAACATTCTCTACCAATCAAAAGTTTAATTTTCAACCTGTTACCAATTTCTGTCTTTACAGAAATCAGGAAAGCACTAAAAATTCTATAGATTTGTCAATTAACCTGAAGCCCAAGTCACAAGGTTCTCAAACCATCCCAAGTTTTTCTCATAT